CTCAAGAGATACGTCTGCCTCAGCCTCCCAAAGTGCTGGGATTATAGGCGTGAGCCACCACATCGGGCCACTTTCTTCCTTTTTGGGGATATGGGAACTTGCTGCGTCACCAGGCTGGTGTGCAGCGGCGTGATCCTAGCTCACTGTGGCCTTCACCTTCTGGATCAAGTGATCCTCCCACCTCAGCCTCCCAAAGTGCTGGGACTACCGGTGTGAGTCACCACACCCACCACGTTGGTTTATCTTGTGTTTCCTAAGGCATGGCCTGTGAGAAACAGTCCTTCACTCCAACTTGCTGCCACATCTCAGCTCCTGACCACAGAAACATCCATTGTTAATCATTGATCCTACGTTCTAGAGGAAAACCAAGGCCAGAAGTCTCTGAGACAAAGCACTGAAGAAAAGGCAGTTGGTGCAGACACCAGGCCTGTAACTCTGGGACATGGGATGGCCAGACAGCATCACCTCTTTCTACTTTACATTTTGAAATTTTAAATTTGTGGCTAGCATTCCCTCACCTCTAAGCACGACCCTCTGCCCTTTTTTCCTTTTCTGATTGCAAAAGCAAAGCGTGTTGGACCCCTCCAAACAAGTTAGTTAAACATTAAGAAGTGTTTCATTTAGAAGGAGGAGGTCCCTGTGAACGCACGCATGGTAAAAAACATGACATACTTTTTTCCGTGGCCACTGAAGTGTTTTCCATGTTGAAGAACAGGAGATGGAGGATGTGCACATTCTGGTTCTGGGGGTCTTTCTTTCTTTCTTTCTTCTTTCTTTCTTTCTTTCTTTCTTTCTTTCTTTCTTTCCTTCCTTCTTTCTTTCTTTTTCTTTCTTTTCTTTTTCTTTCTTTCTTTCTTTTTCTTTCTTCTTTCTTTCTTTCTCTTTCTTTCTTCTTTCTCTTTCCTTTCTCTTTCTCTCTCTCCCTCCCTTCCTCCCTCCCTCCCTTCCTTCCTTCCTTTTTTTGAGACAGAGTCTCACTTTATTGCCCAGGTTGGAGTGTAGTGGCACAGTCTCAGCTCACTGCAACCTCCGCCTCTCAGGTTCAAGGGATTCTTCCGCCTCAGCCTCCCGAGTAACTGGGCTTGCAGGCACCTGCCACCACACCTGGCTAATTTTTTTGTATTTTTAGTAGAGACGGGGTTCCACCATGTTGGGCAGGCTGGTCTTGAACTCCTGACCTCAGGTGACCCGCCTGCATTTGTCTCCCAAAGTGCTGGGATTATAGGCATAAGCCACTGTTTTAGGCCACTATGCCCGGCCCCAGTTTTCTTTTCTATATGTCTGCCTTTGGGAGAATCTTCTTGTCGTCATGTATCCTAAAAAGATAATAAGTATAGGCCAGGCTCAGCAGCTCCCGTCTGTAGTCCCAGCTCCTCAGGGGCCTGAGGCAGGGGGATCACTTGAGCCCAGGAGTTCAAGGCTGCAGCGAGCCATGATCATGCCACTGCACTCCAGCCTAGGTGACAGAATGGGAACCTGTCCATAAAAATGAATAAGAGCTAAAATTTAAAAAGTAAACAGGTTAGCTAGGTGTAGTGGCTTCTGCCTGTAATCTCCGCACTTTGGGAGGCTGAGGAAGGGGGAATCACTTGATTCCAGGAATTCGAGACCAGCTTTGTCAACATAGCGAGAACCCATCTAAAAAAAAGGAAGAAAGAAAAGAGAAAAATAGTGGAGAGATTTAAAGACTCAATGAAACCGAAAAGTTGGTTTTTTAAAAAGATAAAGAAAACTGACAAACCTTTAGCAATACTGACAAAGGAAAAAAAGGTGCAAATAACTAAAATTGTAAATGAAAATAGAGACATTACTACTGAGCTTACAGACATTTAAAGGATCATAAGAGAATGCTGTGAACAATTATTCACTGAGAAATCCGATAATCTACCTAGATGAACAGATTTCTAGAAACACATAAAACTGACTTAAGAAGAAATAGAAAATCTCAACAGACCTGTAATAAGAGCTAGAATTAGTCATCAAAAACCTCCAAACAAGAAAAGGGCATGACTGAATGGCTTAAGGGATGTAGTCTACTGATAATTTAAGTACACATTTTCAAATGCTTCCAACAAGTAGAAGATAAAGGAACCAACCTTCCTTCCTTCCTTTTTTCCTTCCTTCCTTCATCTTTCTCTTTCCTTCCTTTTTTTTTTTTTTTTTTTTTTTTGAGACAGGGTCTTACTCTGCTGCCCAGGCTAGAATGCAGTGGTGTGAAAGATTCACTGCAGCCTTGACCTTCTGGGCTCAAGCAATCCTCCTGCCTCCCATGTAGCTGGGATTACAGATATACGCCACCACATCTGGCTAATTTCTTAATTTTTTGTAGAGACAGGGTCTCACTCTGTTTCCCAGGCTAGTCTCAAATTCCTGGGTTCAAGTTGTCCTCCCGCCTCAGCCTCCCAAATTGTTGGAATTACAGGAGTGAGCCATCACACCTGGTCTGTCTCTCTCCCCATCTCCTCTTTTTCTTGGATACGCTGTCACTCAAGCTGTGTGATCACAGCTCACTGCACCCTCAACCTTCCAGATTCAAGCCATCCTGCCACCTCAGCCTCCAAAGTAGCTGGGACTATAGGCACACACCACTAAACCTGGCTAATTGTTATTTTTTTTGGTACAGACAGGATTTTTCCATGTTACCCAGGCTGGTTGGAACTCTTGGATTCAAGTGATCTGCCTGACTCAGATTCCGAAAGTCCTGTGACTACACATGTGAGCCATCATGCCCAGGAGGAGGAGAGAATATTTCTTAATATTTTCTTAAATATTAAGAATTCTCTTAATATTTCTTAACACATCTATGGGGCCAGCATTCCAGACAATGATACCACAAGAAGAGAAAACTACAGACCCACATCCCTTATGAATATAGATGCAAAAATCCTCAACAAAATGTTAACAAACCAAATCCTGCAGCACATTAAATGGGCTGGATACCACAGCCAACTAAAATGTATTCCCCTAGTGAACCCTGCCTCCCAGTAGTCATGCTTTGTGTAGTCTCCACCCATGCTGAATAACACTGGCTCATGTAACCAATAGGATGTTGTAGAAATGATGGTGTGTGACTCCCAAGGCTAGGTCATAAAAGGCACTGTACCTCCCTCTGCTCTTTCTCTTGGAATATTGGCTTTTGGAAAGCCAGCTCCCATATTGTGAGGAAGCTCAAGCAGCTTCCTCTCCATAGCCTCTCCATAGGGCTCTATGGAGAAATCTACATGGCATGGACCTGAGGCCTCTCACCACCAACCGCCACCAACTTGCCAGTCATGTGAGTGAACTACCTTGGAGGTGGGTCCTCCAGCCCCAGTCAAGCCTTCAGATGACAGCGGCCCCCCACTGATATCTTGACTGCAACCTCATGAGAGACTCTGAGCCAAACTCTCCAACTAAACCACTGTCTGTGAATTCCTAACTCACAGAAATGAAATGATAATAATAATAATAAATATTTATTGTTTTAAGGCTCTATGTTTTTTGCTGGATACAAAACAAATTAAAAAGCCTCTATGTTTTGAGGTGATTTGATAGATAACAAATGCCCTAACTCAGAAGTAGGCATTTTTTTTTTGTATAAAGGACAGAATAATAAGTATTTTAGGTTTTCGGGCCACATAGGTTCTCTGTTGCACATTCTTCTTTGTTGTTTGTTTATATTTCTTTTTTAGAGACAGGTCTCACTCTGTTGCCCAGACTGGAGTGCAGTGGCGTGATCATAGCTCACTGCAGCCTAAAGCAGTGCTCAAGTGACCCTCCTTCCTCAGCCTCTCAAGTAGCTGGGGCTATAGGTCTACACCACCACCATGCCTGGCTCTTGTCTAGGGGGATCATGGACTCCTGGCCTCAAGTGATCCTCCTTCCTCAGCCTCTCAAGTAGTTGGGACTATAGGTGTACACCACCACCATGCCTGGCTCTTGTCTAGGTGGATCATGGACTCCTGGCCTCAAGTGACCCTCCTTCCTCAGCCTCTCAAGTAGTTGGGACTATAGGTCTACACCACCACCATGCCTGGCTCTTGTCTAGGTGGATCATGGACTCCTGGCCTCAAGTGACCCTCCTTCCTCAGCCTCTCAAGTAGTTGGGACTATAGGTCTACACCACCACCATGCCTGGCTCTTGTCTAGGGGGATCATGGACTCCTGGCCTCAAGTGATCCTCCTTCCTCAGCCTCTCAAGTAGTTGGGACTATAGGTCTACACCACCACCATGCCTGGCTCTTGTCTAGGGGGATCATGGACTCCTGGCCTCAAGTGATCCTCCTTCCTCAGCCTCCCAAAGTGTTGGGACTATAGGTGTACACCACCACCATGCCTGGCTCTTGTCTAGAGGGATCATGGACTCCTGGCCTCAAGTGATCCTCCTTCCTCAGCCTCCCAAAGTGTTGGGACTATAGGTGTACACCACCACCATGCCTGGCTCTTGTCTAGTGGATCATGGACTCCTGGCCTCAAGTTACCCTCCTTCCTCATCCTCCCAAAGTGTTGGGCTTACAGGCAGGTGCCTGTTATTGTCGTTTATCAATCCTTTACAAATATATTTTTTAAAAAGGCTGGGCGTGGTGGCTCACACCTGTAATCCCAGCACTTTGGGAGGCCAAGGCAGGTGGATCACCTGAGGTCAGGAGTTTGAGACCAGTTTGGCCAACATGGCAAGAGCTTGTCTTTACCAAAAATATAAATATTAGCCAGGCGTGGTGGCAGGTGCCTGTAATCCCAGCTATTGGAGAGGCTGAGGCAGGAAAATCACTTGAACTTAGGAGGCGGAGGTTGTAGAGAACTGAGATCACCCATTGCACTCCAGCATTCCAGCCTGGGGGACGAGAGTGAGACTGTCTCAAATAAATAAATAAACAAAAAGTTTTTTAAAAAAAAAGCCCTTAGCTGAGGGCTGTACAGAAACAGGCCATAAGCCAGTGTGCCTGCCCTCTTTCCTCCTCCCTTTATTCCCTCCCCTCCCCTCCCTTCCTGTATCCTTCTCTCTTTTTTCTCTCTCTCCCTCCTTCCTTTTTTCCTTCCCTTCCTTCCTCCTTCCCTCCTCCCACCTCTCTCTCCCTCCATCCTTTTATCTTTCCTTCCTTCCCTCCCTTTCTTCTTTCTCACTCTCTCTTTTACTTCTTCAACCATTCGTTGAGCAAAATGGGCAGCTATTATGTGCTAGGCCCTGAGTGTCTGTGATTCTAACTGTGGCTAAGACAGGCAGCATCCCTGCTCTCCTGGAGCTCCCAGCCTAGGAGGGGAAACAGACAGCCAGAACACAGATAAAGAATCTAGTCTTGGTGCAGTGACTCATGCCTGTAATCCCAGCACTTTGGGAGGCCGAGGTGGGCGGATCACCTGAGGTCAGGAGTTTGAGACCAGCCTGGCCAACATGGCAAAACCCCATCTCTACTAAAAATACACAAAAAGTAGCTGGGCGTGGTGGCAGGTGCCTGTAATCCAAGCTACTCAGGAGGCTGAGAGAGAAGAGTCACTTAAACCCAGGAGGTGGAGGTTGCAAGGAGCCGAGATTGCATCACTGCACTCCAGCCTGGGCGACAGAGTGAGATTCCATCTCAAAAAAAAATTAGCTGGGCATGGTGGTGTACCCCTGTAGTCCCAGCTACTTGAGAGGCCGAGGCAGGAGAATCACTTGAACTGGGGAGGCGGAGGTTGCAGTGAGCCAAGATCGCACCACCGCACTCCAGCCTCACTTCAGCCTGGGTGACAGAGCAAGACTCTGCCTGAAAAAAAAAAAGCAGGGTGAGGGGAGGGAGAGTGACAGGAGGGAGAGTGACAGGAGGGAGTCTATTTTAGGTGTGTTATGAAAGAAGTTACCTTTTTTTTTCCTAGAGACAGGATCTTGCTCGTCACCCAGGCTAGAGTGCAGTGGCATGATAGTAACTCACTGCAGCCTTGACCTGCGGGACTCAAACAATCCTCCAGCCTCAGCCTCCCAAGTAGCTGGGACTACAGGATTATGCCAACACGACTGGTTAAATATATATATATATATACACATACAGTAAAGATTGGGGTGTCACTATGTTGCCCAGGCTGGTCTCAACTCCTGGGCTCAAGTGATCTTCCTGCCTCAGCCTCCCAAGGAGCTGGGACTACAGGCTTATGCCAACACGACTGGTTAAATATATATATATATACACATACAGTAAAGATTGGGGTGTCACTATGTTGCCCAGGCTGGTCTCAACTCCTGGGCTCAAGTGATCTTCCTGCCTCAGCCTCCCAAGTAGCTGGGACTACAGGCGTGCACCACCAGGCATGGCTAATTTATTTTTATTTTTAGTAGACACGGGGGTCTTGCTGTGTTGCCCAGGCTGGTGTTGAACTCCTGTCCTCAAATGATGCTCCCGCCTCAGCCTCCCAAAGTGCTGGGGTTTCAGGTGTTAGCCACTGTACTCTGCCCGAGAAAGTGTCTTTGAAGAGGTGACATACACTTATTTATTTACCTATTTATTCATTTAAGACTTAGTCTTGCTCTGTTGCCCAGGCTGGAGTACAGTGGGACAATCTCGGCTCACTGGAATCTCCACCTCCCAGGTTCAAGCGATTCTCTTTCCTCAGCCTCCCGAGTAGCCAGGATTACAGTGTGTGCCACCACGCCCAGCTAATGTTTGTATTTTTAGTAGAGATGGCGTTTCACCATGTTGGTCTTGAATGCCTGACTTCAAGTGATCCACCCACCTCAGGCTCCCAAAGTGCTGGGATTACAGGCGTGTGCCACCATGCCTGGCCAGAGGTGACATTTAAACAGAACCCACACAAAGGAATGGTTCAAGCCGAGCCGACTTTGGGGGAGGGGTGCGCCCGGGTGAGGAATAGTAGGTGCAGAAGCCCAGCACTGGGAATCATCTCCCTGCTGAGGTGGGTGTTGGAAGGATGCAAGGGAGCCCAGGGTGATTAGAATGGAGGAAGAAAGGAGGAGACAGGAGACAGGCCCCCGCCATGCCGGGGCAAGTTGTGCAGGGCCCCTGGTGAAAGCTGAAACAGCAACAAGTGTCCAGGGTTTGAGTGTGACATCCTGTGCTCTTTATTTGGGGTTAAACCCAGTGGCCCAGAGCTGCCTGGTGACACCTTCCTGAAAGCAGAAGAGGCTCAGGACTCGCAGCCGTGGGTGTGCATATATTCTGAAAATTCCTCCACTTGGTCCCGCAACTCTTCCTTGGTGGCATCTCTGTCTGCTGGCCAAAGCATGAGGAACGTCTCCCTGCCCAGGACGTAGCTGTAACTGTGGGCCAGAGACAGCAAGCAGCTGAGAAGAGCCTGGTGCCCTGGAGACACGGGGATCTCCCTGCCCTGCCCTGTCTAACAGCGTCCCAGAGCCTTAGCCTGCAGTGTCCACACCCTAGGGCCCTCTCTGGTCTTCCAGCCTCTTATCCCAAATCACTGGGAATTAGAAAATGCTTCCCTGGCTGAGTGTGTTGGCTAACGCCTGTAACCCTAGCATTTTGGGAGGCTGAGATGGGCGGATCTCTTGAGGCCAGGAGTTTGAGACCAGCTGGACAACATGATGAAATCCTATCTCTACTAAAAGTACAAAAATTAGCCAGGAGTGGTGGCACATGCCTGTAATCCCAGCTACTTGGGAGGCTGAGGCAGGAGAACCACTTGAACCCAGAAATGGAGGTTGCAGTGAGATGGAGGTTGCACTGTATGAATGGTACTTCCTGGAGTTGTGCAGTGCACAACTTGTACCTCCATTCAGGGCCACCCTGAAATCTGAGCTCTCTTGTGGTAGGTCCAGCAAAAATTGTGGAACTGAAGGCTGGGTTGAGGGTAGAGAAGAGAGACCAGGCCTGAGTCCGCAGGACAGGTGGAGCCCCTCACGTACCCAGATTTGATTCTCCACAGGTCTGATGTCTGGCCCATGATGAGGTACGATTCCTGTTCTTGCAGCCCCAGGGAGTCGTGGCAGGTGGTGTGGGAGACAAATTTCTTCATGCTGAGAGGTGTGGCAGGGTCTGTGCCTGGAGAAAACCCAGTGTGTGTGCATGCAGAGGTTGGACCCTCCCTCACACTGGGACCCCCAGGGTGGACTTCCAGCATGACTCCACACTGGGATTCCTCTTTGGAGGATACCACCCTTAATGATGTCTTCAAGCTGCATGTTGTAATAGACGTAAGGGTTGGCGGCAGAGACCTCCACGGATTCCAGCTTTGTCTTGTACACTGGGGAAAGGGGGGGAAAGGGGAGGGCAGGAGGATGTCATGTGGGCGTCTGGCCTGCAGGTGGGCTCTGCCTGTCCCCTGCCGTTCCCCACACTCACCAAAATCCACGCCTGTCTCACATACTGCTATCTGGAGCTCCTCCTGCCTCAGTTGGACACTGGGCTTCCGCAGGGATGGGCACTGTTCTGCAGGGTCGGGTGGCCGGCTGCTCTGGCTGCACTGGGACAGGTGACTTCCTCCTATTCGCCCCCCTGCTCAGCCCCCAGGCCTGGGACCCTTGGGTCTCTGGATCTGGCCTTTCTAGTCTGTGGGGCTCTCTATTTTCTTTTTCCTTCCTTCCTTTGTTCCTTCTTTTTTTTTCTTTTTATTATTATTATTATTTATTTATTTATTTTTTGAGACGGAGTTTCACTGTTGTTACCCAGGCTGGAGTGCAATGGCATGATCTTGGCTCACCGCAACCTCTGCCTCCTGGGTTCAAGTGATTCTCCTGCCTCAGCCTCCCGAGTAGCTGGGACTACAGGCGCGCACCACCATGCCCAGCTAATTTTTGTATTTTTAGCAGAGACGGGGTTTCACCTTGTTGACCAGGATGGTCTCGATCTCTTGACCTCGTGATCCACCCGCCTCGGCCTCCCAAAGTGCTGGGATTATAGGCGTGAGCCACCGCGCCCGGCCTCTTTTTATTATTTTTTTAAAGAGATGGGGGCTGGGCGGGGTGGCTCACGCCTGTAATCCCAGCACTTTGGGAGGCCGAGGCGGGTGGATCACAAGGTCAAGAGATCGAGATCATCCTGGTCAACACGGTGAAACCCCTCTCTACTAAAAATACAAAAGTTAGCTGGGTGAGGTGGCGCGTGCCTGTAGTTCCAGCTACTCGGGAGGCTGAGGCAGGAGAATTACTTGAATCAGGGAGGCAGAGGTTGCAGTGAGCCGAGATCATCCAACTGCACTCCAGCCTGGTGACAGAGTGAGACTCAGTCTCAAAAAAAGAAAAAAAAAAAATGGAGTCTCACTATGTTAGCTAGGTTGGTCTCAAACTCCTGAGCTGAAGCAATCCTCTCATCTCGGCCTCCCAGGGTGTTGGGATGACAGGTATGTGAGCCATCATACTTGCCAATTTATTTATTTTTCTAGACAGAGTCTTGCTCTGCCACCCAGGCTGGAGTGCAGTGGTGTGATCTCAGTTCACTGCAACTGCCACCTCCCAGATTCAAGCGATTCTCGTGCCTCACTCTCCTGAGTAGCTGGGACTACAGGTGTGTGCCACCACGGTCAGCTAAATTTTGTGTTGTTAGTAAAGACAGGGTTTCACCATGTTGGCCAGGATGGTCTTCATCTATTAACCTCCTGATTTGTCCGCCTCAGCCTTCCAGAATGCTGGGATTACAGGTGAGAGCCACTGCACCTGGCCTGGTCATTTGGTTTTATTTTTTTTGAGACGGAGTCTCGCTCTGTTTCCAGGCTGGAGTGTGATGGTGAGATCTCGGCTCACTGCAACCTCTGCCTCCCAGGTTCAAGCGATTCTCCTCCCTCAGCCTCTGGAGTAGCTGAAAGTACAGGTGCTCACCACCACTCCCAGCTAATTTTTGTATTTTTAGTAGAGACGGAGTTTCACTGTGTTGGCCAGGATGGTCTCGATCTCTTGACCTCATGATCCACCTGCCTCGGCCTCCCAAAGCGCTGGGATGACAGGCGTGAGCCACCGCGCCCGGCCCTTGGTCACTTTCTTGTCTATTTCTCCCTTCTTCGTCTCTTTGTGTCTTTCTGTCTCCCTGTCATTTGATCTTTGGCAGTGCGTGCGTGTGTGTGACAATCTGTCTCTCTGTGCCTTGTTTCTGTCTCTCCTTGGCTTTGTCTCTTTCTGTCTAAATTCAGAGCAGACTATAGCCAGGAGAAGGCTTGAAGGCGTCCTGGATCTACCCTCCCCCAACAACCTGACAGCCCCAGCCCGGTGGCATGAAGCTCACTCTCGGTACATCTCACCCTCTGCACATCTGCAGACGTCTTTGTGGCAGATCTTTTGCAGGGAAGATTGCTCTGTGGGCAGGTTGTAGAAAGTGCTGCAACTCCGGGCTGTGGGTGGAGGGTGCAGGGGTTGGGGAAGGGGTCATAGGGCCAGAATTCCTGGGGATTCGGTGTCCACCTCTCCCTTCCGGGACCTGCCCTTGCCCTCCCCATCCTCCAAAGGGCCGAGTCCAGGCTCCCTCCTGCCCCTTCTTGTCCCTGGGCTGTGCCCTCCAGGTCCTCCCAGACCTTTCCCTCTTCCTGGCCCTGCCCACTGCAAACCTCACTTTGAAGGGCCATGCCCAGCCACCTCCGTTGACAGGCCACGCCCACTCAAAAGAGCCTGCCCCTTCCCCACCCATTTCCTGCAGGCCATGCCCAGTTCCCCTTCAACTTTGCCCCACCTCCTTCCTGGCCCCGCCTACCCACGGCAATCCCAGAAGGCCACGCCCCTTATGCCCGCCCAGGCCCCGCCCCTTTTGGCAATGCCTAGTCTCTCATCCCCTGGCTTCTGGCCCTGTCCTTTGCAGGCCTCCTCCCTCTGCGCGGGGCCCCTCCTTACAAGGCTCGTAGTAGTCGTAGATGGTGATCAGGGCGGCCTGCAGGAACTCGGCCTGCAGCATCCTGTGAACCCGAAAGCCCAGCACCGTGTTTTTCTCATGGGAGAGCTGGAGAGAACAGAGTCTTGTCTGAGCTGACCAGGGCCACTGACCATGGGGCACTGACCTTGTGGCACTGACCACGAGGCCTTGGCTGTTGGCATTGGCCATGACCACGGACCATGTGGCCTTAATCATAGGAATTGCAACCAGAGGAGCTAACCTCAGAGGGCCTGGCTCCCTGCAAAACCCTCCCAGGGGGCTAACCTTGGGTTCTCCAGCCCCCAGGGTGCTCACACACCTCTGGTGGAGGGCACCCGCCTTCCTCACTTTCTCCAGGTAGAGGACAACAGTGCTGTCGCTGGGACTTGTCTTGGTTTCATACTGAAAGGCGTACCTCTTCACATCACTTGTGAGCTGCGACAGAGGGCAGACACTGGAGGTGCTGACAGCCTCCGAGGCCCCCAGCCCTAGAGCTCCAGGCTTTGTCCAATCAACCCCACTCTTGGGGAAACTGAGGCCCCAGCAGGAAAAAGATTTGGTTGAGGCCATGCAGGGAGTCAACCAGAAGTGACACTGGGGCATTATAACCCCGGAGTCTTGCCTTGAGTAGACACTGCCCCGCACCCACGTGGGAAGCATGGGACTGCTACTCAGGAAGCAGGCAGGCGGGGTCTGCATTACCTGCTTCAGGTCATCCTGGTTGGTGTAGAAGCCAGTGAGCAGGGAGACCTCCCTGATGGTCATCGTGGCCTCTCGATCGTCCTGGAACCTGGGAGTTCACAGCCCCAGTCTCTCCCCACTGTCCTCCCCACTGCTATCATCCCTTGCTCAGTCTAGTGCAGTAGCCTCCTCTCAGGTCTCCCCATGTCCCCTTTGCCATGCACAACAGAGCTCTAGCAAGCAGAGATCTGACTATGTTGCCTCCTTGCTTCAATGACCAAAGGTCTTCCCTCAGTCCTGACACCCTTTCACGTCACCTCCTCCCACCTCAGCCTTCATCTGATCACTGTTAGCCTTGTTCCCTCTCCTGCCACCGGATCTTTGCACATGCTGTTCACTCGGCCTGGAACCCTCACTTCTGCCTTTTCGTCCTGAAACACCCCTCACGTTTTCCATGTTAGCTGATGCATCACTCCCTCTGGGAAGCCTTCCCCAGCCTACACCCCAGACACACCAGATCATTCATCTTTTTTTTTTCTTTCTGAGACAGGGTCACCCAGGCTGGAGTGCAGTGGCTCAATCATGGCTCCCTGTAGCCTCAGCTTCCTGGGCTCAAGCAATCCTCTGTCTCAGTCTTGTGAGTTTCTGGGACTATAGGCATGCACCACCCACCATGCCTCGCTAATTTTTGAACATTTTCTTTTTTAGAGATGGGGTCTTGCTATATTGCCCAGGCTGGCCTCAAAATCCTGGGCTCAAGTGATCCTCTTGGCTTTCTAAAGTGCTGGTATAACAGCATGAGCCACTGCGCCGGGCCCAGATCATTCTCTGATTTGCTTCCCACGACTCTGTAAACCTCTCCTTTGCCACATGAAAATCATGGTTGCCATTTCATATTGGTTCTGTGTGATTATCTGTTGATTGTCTGTCTCTCCTGATAGACTGTGGGCTTCGCCAGGGCAAGGAGAGGCTGCCTTGCTCATAGCTGGGCCCCTAGCTCCAAAAACAGGGCCTGGTACACAGTAGGTGCCCAGTAATATTTGTATTTGAAGCAGACCTGGGCAAGGGAGGTATGGGACAGGGCAGGACTGGGGTAGGGGCTCAGGTGCCTGAAGAAGATGAGAAGCACAGGGAGAGCTTCAGGGCTTGGAACCAGCTCTGGGCATCTGAGTCACAGAGCATGTCACCTGAGGACACGCAGACATGGCAGGAGGCAGGGACAGAATGGGGAACAGGCACGGAGAAGCAAGCTTGGCTGGTTTCCACCATCCACTCAGCACACAGGGAGGGCCGATAAGGAATCTGGGTGGCAGAAAGTGAGACCCTCCTCCCGCCCAGTCCAAGATCCTGGTGCCCTGACCTTGTTTCCATCCGGAGCCGAAAAGTCTCCTCTCCCTTATTTTCTGCAGAGAGAAGGCAGCATTTTAGAGGCCGGGGAGCGGAGTGATCAGGTGCAGTCTCTGGAGCCGGCTTCTTGGGTTCAAATCCTGACTCTGCTGTGTGACCTGAGCAAGTTGCTGAACTTCTCTGTGCTTCGGTTTACTCATCTGTAGGGGGTCATAACATTCCCAACCCGACAGGGCTGCCATGAGGATTCAGTGAGTTAATATGGGCAAAGCCCTCTGCATGGTGCCTGCTCAGTGCTCTGTAACTATTATTACTTTCATTTTTATTTTTATTTTTTTGAGACGGAGTTTCACTCTTGTTACCCAGGCTGGAGTGCAATGGTGCGATCTCGGCTCACCGCAACCTCCGCCTCCTGGGTTCAGGCAAGTCTCCTGCCTCAGCCTCCGGAGTAGCTGGGATTACAGGCACGCGCCACCATGCCCAGCTAATTTTTTCTATCTTTAGTAGAGACGGGGTTTCACCATTTTGACCAGGATTGTCTCAATCTCTTGACCTCATGATCCACCCGCCTCGGCCTCCCAAAGTGCTGGGATTACAGACTTGAGCCACAGCGCCCAGCCCTGTAACTATTATTATTAAGAAATCAGGCAAAAAGCAAAGCCTGGGTCATGTCTAGCCCCTACATTTCATGGGACTGGTGAGGCTTGTTCTCCTTACTTGCACAGGGGGTTCCAATAGTCCTCTCTCCTTCTTCGTGCCCCAGACTGGGAACTGGGGAATCCAACTATTTCTGTTTTTTTGTTTTCTTTTTGTTTTTTCTTTTAAGAGAGGGTCTCACTCTGTTGCCCAGGCTAGAGTGCAATGGTGCAATCATGACTCACTGCAGCCTCAACCTCCTGGGCTCAAGCGATCCTCCCACCTCAACTTCTTGAATAGCTGGGACCACAGGCACGTACCACCATGTCCAGCTAATTTTTTTGTAGACATAGGGTCTCCTTATGTTACCCAGGCTGGTCTTGAACTCCTAAGCTCAAGCGATACTCCTGCCTCTGCCTCCCAAAGTGTTGGAATAACAGGCATGAGCCACTTCCCAGCCCACTGTTTCTGATAATCTCCAGAGCCCCTAATCTGGCCCAGCCTCCACCATCTCCCACAGGACCAGTGCAGTCACCTCCTTCCTGGTCATCTGGCTTCCACCCTCACCCTCTACAGTCTATTTCCCCCAGACTAGTCAGATCAGAGGGAGCCTGTGCAAAACAGTGGTAGGTCACATTCCTTCTCTGTTCGGAAACTTCTATGGCTCCCACCTTACTCAGAACAAAAGCCAAAGTCCTCACTGTGGCTAACAAGTCCCTACACCATCTTCCCCCATCAGCTTTCCAACTTCTTCTTCTAAAACTCTACCCTTGCTCCTCCTGTAGCTACACAGACCTCCTCATTATTTCTCAAACATGATGAGCTCATTTCTGCCCCAGGGCCTTTGCACCTGCTGTTCTGTCTGCCTGGAATGCTCTTCCCTCAGATCTTTCATGGCTGAGTCTCTCCCGTCTTTCTTATCTTAGCTCATATGCCATATCCTCAGAGGGCTTTTCGTGGATCATCCCAAAGCCTGCATCACCTTTTCCTACTTTATTTATTCTCTTTTTTTTCCACTATCTCCAGTAATGACTATAAGCAACTACTTTATTTATTTATTTATTTATTTATTTATTTATTTATTTATTTATAATGGAGTCCTGCTCTGTTGCCCAGGCTGGAGTGAAATGGCACCATCTCAGATCACTGCAACATCCACCTCCCAGGTTCAAGCGATTCCCCTGCCTCAGCCTCCCGAGTAGCTGGGATTACAGGATCCAGGGCACCATGCCCAGCTAATTTATATATTTTTAGTAGAGATGGCATTTCACTATGTTGATCAGGCTGATCTTGAACTCCTGACCTCAGGTGATCTACCTGCTTCAGCCTCCCAAAGTGCTGGGATTACAGCTGTGAGCCACTGTGCCCGGCCTTTCTACTCTATTTTCTACAGACTTGTTATCACCTGCTATTATGTTATATCCTGATTTTTTTTTTGAGATGGGGTCTTACTCTGACACCCAGGCTGGAGTGCAGTGGTGCAATCGGCTCACTGCAACCTCTGCCTCCTGGGTTCAAGCGATCCTCCTGCCTCAGCCTTCTGAGTAGCTGGGACTACAGGCGCACATCATACATGCCTAATTTTTTATATTTTTAGTAGAGATGGGGTTTCACCATGTTAGCCAGGATGTTCTCAATCTCCTGACCTCATGATCCGCCTGCCTTGGCCTCCCAAAGTGCTAGGATGACAGGCGTGGGCCACTGTGCCCAGCCTGATTGTTTTTAATATATATGTATTTATTTGTATTTCTTACAGACATGGTCTCACTCTGTGGTTCAGACTGAAGTGCAGTGGTGCAATCATAGCTCACTGCAGGCTCACCCTCCTGGCCTGCAGTCCTCCTGCCTCAGCCTTCTGAGTAAATAAGACTATAGGTCCCCACCACCATGCATGGGTAACAATTTTTTTTATAGAGATGGGATCTTGCTATGTTGCCCAGCCTTAAGTGACCCTCCTGGCCTTAAGTGACCCTCCTTCCCTGGCCTCGAAAAGTGCTGGGATTACAGGTGTGAGCCATGGTGCCCAGCCTAGATTTATTTCTTTAGATTGTAAATAAATAACAGTATGAGTATAATATGTTACAATTTATGTATTGTTTGTCTCTCCCCACTAGAATGTGGCTTCTTGGAAAAAAAGGAATATTTTTCTTGTCATGCCTATGTTGCCGGGGCTCATAAATGACCCAACACACAGTGAGTGCACACTAAAATGTTGTTTCTATTCAAAATTGATTAGAGACAGGGATTACTCTATCACCTGAGCTGGTGCAGTGTGGTGATCAGAGCTCACTGCAGCCTCTAACTCCTAGGCTCAAGCAATCCTCCTGCCTCACCCCTCAGTAGCTGGGACTACAGGTGCACACCACCACATCCAGCTAACTTAATTTTTTTTTTAGAGATGGGGTCTTGCTAGGTTGACCAGGCTGGTCTCAAACTCCTATCCTCAAGTGACACCCCTGCCTTGGCCTCCCAAAATACTGGGACTACAGGGGTGCACTACCACATCTGGCTAATTTTTTTTTTTTTTAGAGATTGGGTCTTTCTGTGTTCCCCAGGCTGGTCTGGAACTCCTGTGCTCAAGTGACCATCCTGTCTTAGCTTCCCAAAGTGCTGGGATTACAGGCATGAGCCACCGTGCCTGTCCTCACTAAATATTTGTTGAATGACTGCATTACATGATAAATATGCTTAATGAATGAGTCAAATAAAATAACAGGCTGGCTGCAGTGGCTCACACCTGTAATACCAGCACTTTGGGAAGCCAAGGTGGGCAGATCACTTGAGGTCAGGAGTTCGAGACCAGCCTGGCCAACATGGTGAAACCCCCATCTCTACTAAAAATATAAAAATTAACCAGCTGTGGTGGCAGCACCTGTAGTCCCAGCTACTCGTGAAACTGAGGTACAGGAATCTCTTGAACTTAGGAGGCAGAGGTTGCAGTGAGCTGAGATCACACCGCTGCACTCCAGTCCGGGTGACAGAGCAAGACTCCATCTCAAAAAAAAGTCCCCAAAGGCCAAAAAAATAAAATAACAACAAGGATTAGGCATTCCTGGGTCCGGGCTCACCTTCTGGAACACTGCGGAGAGTCACATTCAGTTGGTACAGCTTGCAGTTGTCTTCCCAGGGCACTGGGGACTTGTGGTATGTGGTCAGGATCTGCCGGGCCAGGAAAGGGGGCTGTCAGAGCTTTTCCTCACCCACTGCCTTTGCCCTGCACCCCAGTCTTTGACTTCCCAGGTCTCTGGCCATGTGGGGAATTTACTGTAAGAATGCCCCCTGTCAATTCCTAGGTGCAGTGGCCACAGCACTATCTGGAGTCTAGCTCTCCATCTCCTGGTTTCAAGCAGTTCTCCTGCCTCAGCCTGCTGAGTAGCTGGGATTACAGGTGCCTGCCACTGTGCCTGGCTAATTTTTTTGGCATTTTTAGTAGAGACAGGGTTTCACTATGCTGGCCAGGCTGGTCTTGAACTCCTGATCTCAAGTGATCCACCTGCCTCAGCCTCCCAAAATGCTGGGATTACAGGAGTAAACCACCATGCCCAGCCAGGAATATTTTTTGCTGTTGTTCATGTCTGTCTTCCTGGGACTCATAAATGACCCAGCACACAGTAAATGCTGACTAAATATTTGTTGAATGGGCCAGGCACAGTGGCTCATGCCTGTAAATCCCAGCACTTTGGGAGGCCGAGGTGGGTGGATCACTTGAGGTCAAGAGTTCAAGACCAGCCTGGACAACATGGTAAAACCTCATCTCTACTAAAAATAAAAAAAAATTAGCTGGGCACGTGCCTGTAGTTCCAGCTACTTGGGGGGCTGAAGCAGGAGAATCACTTGAACCCAGGAAGCAGAGGGTGCAGTGAGCTGCAATCATGCCACTGCACTCCAGCCAGGGCAACAGAACAAGACTCAGTCTCAAAAAAAAAAAAAAAGCTAAATGACTCTATCCAGCAATAAATGTGCTTAATGAATGATAGTCAAAATAAAATAATAAAGAAGAATTAGACATCCCTGGGTCCCAGTCACTGGCTGAGATTTTGGAGGAAGGGTGGAGTTATCTCCTGGGCCTTGGGCGGCATACTGGAGGGAAAATCTTCCCTTGGGAGAGACAAGCAAGGAGACATCTGCTGAGGGACTCAGCATGGTGTGGGGGGGGTGGCGGGCAGAGGGGTCCCAGGACAGCTGGTCCTCTACCTGTCCTGGCTCTTGATTTAGAACAAATGACGGCCATTCTGATTCTGTCTCTCCAGCTGTAGAATGAACTTACCAACTTCCTAGGTAGCTTTGAGGTGTCCTTAGCTTGATGCCTAGCAAACAGCAGTGCCCTAAATGATAGCTAAAATTACTGATGATTTTGATCTTGCTGTGGAATCTAGGGCTTGTTTGTAGCCTCATCAACTAGGGAAGCCCTGGGCTCCAGCTAAGAATCTCAAGACGGGGCCGGGTGCTGTGGCTCACACCTGTAATCCCAGCACTTTGGGAGGCCAAGGTGGGCGGATCATGAGGTCAGGAAATGAAGACCATCCGGCTAACATGGTGAACCCCGTCTCCACTAAAAATACAAAAAGCCGGCATGATGACACACACTGTAGTCCCAGCTACTCAGGAGGCCGAGGCAGGAGAGTACTTTGAATCTGGGAGGCGGAGGCTGCAGTGAGCCAAGATTGTGCCACTGCACTCCAGCTTGGGCGAGAGAGTGAGATTCCGTCTTAAAAAATAATAATAATAATCTCAAGATAGGGGGCTATAAGCTGAATGTTTGTGTCTCCCCAAGTTCACATGCTGAAACCTAATCACCAGTGTGATGGTATTTGGAAATAGGGTCTTTGGGGGGTGATTACATCACAAGGGTGATGTTCTCCTGCATGGGATTAGGGCTCTTGTAAAAGCAACCCCAAAAAGCTTCCTCACACCTTCCTTTTTTTGGAGACAGGGTCTTGCTGTGTTGCCCAGGCTGGAGTGCAGTGGTGCAATTACAGCTCACTGTAGCCTCGACCTCCTGGGGTCAACCAGTCCTCCCACCTCAGCCTCCTGAGTAGCTGGGATTACAAGTACATGCCAACACACCTGGCTCATTTTTTATTTTTATTTTTGTAGAGACAAGGACTCACTATGTTGCCCAGGCTGGTCTTGCACTCCTGCCGTTAAGTGATTCTCCCATCTCGGTCTAACAAACTGCTAGGGTTATAGACACGAGCCACCTTGCCTGGCCTGCCTGGCCCCTTCTATCATGTGAGGACATAGCAAGAAGACACCATCTATGAAACAGAGTGTTCTGTGTCTTGATCTTGAACTTCCTGGCCTTGAGAACTGTGAGCAATAAATATTCCTTTTCTTCCTTCCTTCCTTCCTTCCTTCCTTCCTTCCTTCCTTCCTTCCGTCCTCCCTCCCTCCCTCCCTCCCTCCCTCCCTCTCTCTCTCTCTTTTTTTTTTATTTTTCTCTCTTTCTTTCTTTGACTGAGTTTCACTCTTGTTGCCCAGACTGGAGTGCAATGTCACAATCTCAGGTCACTGCAACCTCTGTCTCCTGGGTTCAAGTGATTCTCCTGTCTCAGCCTCCTGAGTAGCTGGAATTACAATCCACTACCATGCCCGGCTAATTTTGTATTTTTTACTAGAAACGGGGTTTCTCCATGTTGGTCAGGCTGGTCTTGAACTCCCAACCTCAGGTGACCTGCCCACCTCGGCCTCCCAAAGTGCTGGGATTATAGGCTTGAGCCACTGCACCCGGCCTCTTCTTTTTTCTTTTCTTTTCTTTCTTTATTTTTTCCTTCCTTCATACCTTTCTTTCTTCCTTTCTTCCCTCCCTCCCTTTCTTCCTTCTTTCCTTCTTGCTTTTCCTTCCTTCCTTCCTTCCTTCCTTCCTTCCTTCCTTCCCCCCTCCCCTCCCCTCCCTCCCTCCCTCCCTCCCTTCCTTTCCTTCCCCCCTCCCCTCCCCTCCCTCCCTTCCTTCCTTCCTTCCTTCCCCCCTCCCCTCCCCTCCCTCCCTTCCCTCCCTCCCTCCCTCCCTTCCTTCCTTCCTTCCTTCCCCCCTCCCCTCCCATCCCTCCCTCCCTCCCTCCCTCCCTCCCTCCCTTCCTTCCTTCCTTCCCCCCTCCCCTCCCCTCCCCTCCCCTCCCCTCCCCTCCCTCCCTCCCTCCCTCCCTCCCTCCCTCCCTCCCTTCCTTCCTTCCTTCCTTCCTTCCTTCCTTCCGAGTCTCACTCTGTTATCCAGGGTAAAATGCAAGGTCTTAATCACGACTTACTGCAGCTACCACCTCCTGGGCTCAAGCGATCCTCCCACTTCAGCCTTTTGAGTAGCTGTGACTACGGACATGTGCCACCATGCCCAGCCCATTTTTCCATTTTTTTGTAGAGACAGAGTCTCACTCTGTTGCCCCGGTGGGTCTTGAACTCCTGGGCTCAAGCGATTCTCCCACGTGGGCCTCCAAAAATGCTGGAATTGCAGGCATGAGCCACATGCTGGGTCAATTTCTATTGTTTATAAACCACCCAGTCTATTTTGTTGTAGCAGCCGGAACAAACTGCTTTGGTAGAATACAAGACCTACTGAGATGGTGCCTCTCCCGCTGCCACTGGCTTTGATCTCTAGATCGTCCTGGGCAAGGAACTGAAAAGAACAAAGAGGAAGATTTAAGGGTGGAGGAGGCAGCAAAGTGAGGGTCAAGTGCAGGGGGATGTGGAGCCTGAACTGTCACTAAGGCCTCGGTTATTCCCTAACCTGGGACCTGGTGATTAATTTTCCATCTCTCTACATGCAGATGGTTTTTCTTTTCCCTCTTCAGAAAGCATTTGTGGTGTCTACACTCTCATAGATCAACTGGAACTGCTCATTTAGCCTATTTTTTTTCTTTTTGATGCTGGGTCTCAGTCTGTAGCCTAGGCTGGAGCGCAGTGGTGTGATCTCAGCTCACTGCAGCCTCTGCCTTCTGAGCTAAAGCAATCCTCCTGTCTTGGCCCCCCAAGTAGCTGGGACTACAGGCATATGCCACCACACCTGGCTAATTTTGTTTTTTGTATTTTTCTGTAAAGACAGGGTCTAACTATGTTGCCCAGACTGGTCTTGAACTCCCGGCATCAAGTGATCCACCCACCTCTGACTTCCAAAAGTGTTGGGATTACAGGTGGGAGTCACTGTGCCCAGCCTTTTTTTTTTTTTTGGAGACAAGAGTCTTGCTTTGTCATCCAGGCTGGAGTGCAGTGGTGCAATCCCAGCTCACTGCAGCCTCTGTCTCTCAGGTTTAAGCAATTCTCCTGCTTCGGCCTCCTGAGTAGTTGGGATTACAGGCATATGCCACCATGCCCAGCTAATTTTGGTATTTTTAGTAGAGACAGCATTTTACCATGTTGGCCAGCCTGGTCTCAAACTCTCAACCTCAGGTGATCCGGCCACCTCAGCTCAGGCTGTGTCCTAATGTGCATCCCTAGAATCTGTTCTCTTTGTAGCATTTCCAAGGTTCCTGTGCATAGAGCTCCCACAAGCCCCTTCTCACTGGCATCTCTGTACCTCTCTATTTTTCTTTGCCTTTTCTAATTGATGCATAATGGGCCAGGTGCAGTGGCTCATGCCTATAATCCCAGCACTTTGGGAGGCCGAGGTGGGTGGATCACTTGAGGTCAGGAGTTCGAGCAGCCTGGCCAACATGATGAAACCCTGTCTCTACTAAAATATACAAAAATTAGCTGGGTGTGGTGGCAGGTGCTTGTAAATCCCAGCTACTTGGGAGGCTGAGGCAGGAGAATCACTTGACCCCAGGAGGTGGAGGCTGCAGTGAGCCAAGACTGTGCTATTGCACTCCAGCCTGGGCAACAGAGTGAAACTCCATCTCAAAAGAAAAAATTGATGCATAATGGATGTACATAGTTTCAAGGCACATGTGATAATGAAACTCATTCATATAATGTGTAAAGATCAGATCAGTGTACCTCAGATATCCATCACCTTAAATACTTGTCTTTTCTTTATGCTAAAATCATTCTAATTCTTTTCTTCCAGCTATTTTGAAATATGCAGTAGATTATTGTAACTACAGTCACCCTACCAATCTATCAAATGTTCGGTCTTTTTTCTTCTATCTAACCATATGTTTGCATCCATTAATCAACTTCTTTTCCTCCCTCCCTTTCTTCCTACACTTCCTATCCTCTGGCAACCACCAATCTAATCTCTATCTTCATCTGCAGCTACTCTTGTTTTCCTCACTGCATTCTTACATCAGCCAGAATAAAATTTTAAAAATTCACAGCCAAGCCAAACATAGTGGCTCACGTCTGTAATCCCAGCAATGCAGGAGGCCAAGCGGGGAGGATTGCTTGAGCCCAGAAATTCAAAATATGCCTGGGCAATTTAGCTAGACTCCATCGCTACGAAAAAAAAAAAAACCACTAAAAATCGAGTCGGGCAAGGTGGTGCATGTCTGTAGTCCCAGCTACTCAGGAGGCTAAGGCAGGAGGATTGCCTGAGCCCAGGAATTTGAGGCTGCTGTGAGCTATGTTTGTGCCACTGCACTCCAGCCTGGGCGACAGAGTGGGACCCTGTCTCTAAAAAACAAAAAACAACAACAAAAAAATAAATTAATTAATTAAAAAAAAAATCACAGCCAGTCACCAAAATCTCACTGCCTATAGGATCAAGTCCTAATTCTCGCCATGGCCTTGCAGCCCTCACTGCTGAGCCATGCTAGCCTCAAAGCCTCCTGATAGCCTGCTTTATCTGCTGTTCTCCCTTCTGACCACTCTTGTGCTTGACTGGCTCTGGGTCTCCACTCTATGCTGTTCCCTATGTCAGAAACATTCTTCCTAGGCCAAGAACAGTGGTTCATGCCTGGAATCCCAGAACTTTGGGAAGCCAAGGCAGGTGGATCACATGAGGCCAGGAGTTCAAGATGAGCCTGGCCACCATGGTGAAACCCCATCTCTACTAAAAGTACAAAATGTAGCCAGGCATGGTAGTACATGCCTGTAATCCCAGCTACTGGGGAGGCTGACACAGGAGAATTGCTTGAACCCAGGAGGGTGAAGGTTGTGGTGAGCCAAGATTGTGCCACTGCACTCCAACCTGGGTAGGTGAGTGAGACTCTGTCTCAAAAGCAGAAGAAGGAGGAGGAGAAAGGGGAGGAGGAGAAGGGGAGGGGGGAGGAGGAAGAGGGGGAGGAGGAGGAGGGCGAGGAGGAGGGGGGGAGGAGGAGGAGAAAGAAGGGAGGGGGAGGAGAGGAGGGAGGGGGAGGAGGGGGAGGAGGGGGGAGGAGGGGGGAGGAGGAGGGGGAGGAGGAACAGTGTTCCTTTCCCTCTGCTTTCTTCGTCTTGACAACTATTTGTCCAAGACATTCCACTAAACAATGCATGACCTTAGACTGGTTGTTTTACTTCTCTTCTTTTTTCGTAGAGATGAGTTCTCGCTATGTTGCCCAAGGTGTCATTTCTTTTTATTTATTTATTTATATTTTGAGACAAAGTCTCACTCTCAGGTGACCTCGGCTCACTGCAACCTCTGCCTCCTGGGTTCAAGCGATTCTCCTGCCTTAGCCTCCCAAGTAGCTGGAATTGCAGGCATGCCCATGTCCGGTTAATTTTTGTATTTTTAGTAGACATGGAGTTTCACTATGTTGACCAGAGTGGTTTCGAACTCCTGACCTCAGGTGATCCATCCACCTCAGCCTCTCAAAGTACTGGGATCACAGACATAAGCCACCGTGCCAGGCCCATTTCCTTCTAGATTGTACATTCCATAAGAGCAGGGACCATGGATCTTTCACAACATAACCCCAAATGCCTAGGAGATTCACTGGTACATAGCAGATGCTCAGGAAATGTTGGTGAAATAAATGAATCAATACATTGACAGTATAGCCACATTTCCAATGCTTATGATATCATCTTGAGGAGGGAGATCAGCAGGGACATGATGCTTGGCCTCATCTCCAATACCACCTGTGCGTGGACTCTGGCCTGCCCCTCAGTGCCATACCTTTGCTGACCACTGCTGGTAGGCATTGTTGTCATCAATCTGCCAATTCACATTCAAGGCTCTCTTGGGGGCACTGATCTGAACACGGAGATCCTGGACACCCTCGAAGGGAACATCTTCGCGGAAGCGGGTCAGAGCTTCAAGGGCCACCACCGTGGTCTGGGTGTTGGAATGGGGTGGGGAGGTGTGTGGGCGGGGGAGGGGTATGTGGATCAGCACCACAGACAGCACCCAAGAAACCATTGGGCGGCACGTCAAGACCAAGGACAGCTCCCCCCTCCCCCCCCCTGGGCTGGGCACGTCAGCACCTTGGCTAGCGACCCTGGCTCCCACCTCCCGGAGGTCCCCATCACCTGGGTGGACCCGAAGCCTCCTCCAAGCTCCCGCTTCTCTAGTAGCCACTTGGCGATGGGGTGTGTCTCATTGTGCTGGCCAAGCTCCAGCTTCTGCATGAGCGCATAGGCTGTGGCCTCAACAGTGTACAGGGGGCCCAGCTTCTGCTCATCCACTGGCCAGTGGGTTTTGTCTAGAAATAGGGATGCCCGGCTTTTCACCCAGAGCTGGGCCTGCCCACCTTAACCTGCTCTCTCCTGTGCCATCTGGCCCAGTTTTCTCATCTGTCATCTTATTGATCACCTACTTTATTTTTATTTTTGTAGGGGGGGTGGGGGTGGTTCTCATTATGTTGTCCAGGCTGGTTTTGAACTCCTGGCCTCAAGCCATTCTCTCACTTTGACCTCCCAAAGTGTTGGGATTACAGGCATGAGCCACCGTGCCGAGCCCTCATCGCCTACTTTATGTGAAGCTCTTTGCTAAGGAAACGTGGACATTCCATTTTCAGAACGACCCTAGGAGACAGGACTCCATTTACCAATGGAGAAATTGAGTTAAAAAAAAAAAGTTCCTGGCTGGGCGTGGTGACTCATGCTTATAATCCCAGAACTCTGGGAGGCCAAGGCAGGCGGATCACCTGAGGTCAGGAGTTCCAGACCAGCCTGGCCAATATGGTGAAACTCGGTCTCTACTAAAAATACAAAAAAGTTAGTTGGGCGTGGTGGTGGGCACCTATAATCCCAGCTACTCAGGAGGTTGAGGCAGGAGAATCTCTTGAACCTGGGAGGTGGAGGTTGCAGTGAGCCAAGATCATGCCATTGCACTCCAGCCTGGGTGACAAGAGTGAGACTCTGTCTCACCAAAAAAAAAAAAACAAAAAAACCCAAAAAACGGTAAAAGTTCCTTTAGGTCTCTCCAGTCCCACTGCAAGCAAATTGACCTAGCTCCACTTTCTTTGCCTTGTGGAATGTAGCAGACGGGATGTGGACCCTTGGGGATGTGGTAGAATCAACCAGGGGAAGATTTTATAACCTCTCCATCCTGCTGGGCTCGGTGGCTCACACCTGTAATCTCAGCACTTTGGGAGGCTGAGGCAGGCAGATCATAGAGTCAGGAGTTTGAGACCATCCTGGCCAATATGGTGAAACCCCATCTCTACTAAAAATACAAAAGTTAGCCAGGCATGGTGGTGGGTGCCTGTAGTCCCAGTTACTTGGGAGGCTGAGGCAGGAGAATTGCTTGAACCCAGGAGGTGGATGGTTGCAGTGAGCCGAGATCATGCCATTGCACTCTAGCCTGGGTGACAGAGCAAGAGACTCTGTCTCAAAAAACCAAAAATCAAAAACAAAACAAAACAAAAAAATCCCTCTCCATCCTTGACAACACCAAGCACTCTTTCCACCTCAGGGTGTTTACTTGTGCTGTTCCCTTTGCTTGGAATGTCCATGGTCTTTCATGAAGGTGTACCTTAAAAATAAGGTTTTCTTGAGACAGTCTTGCTCTGTCGCTGAGGCTGGAGTAGAGTGGCGAGATCTCAGCTCACTGCAACCTCTACCTCCCAAGTTCAAGTGATTCTCCTGCCTCAGCCTCCTGAGTAGCTGGGATTACAGGCATGCACCATTATGCCTGGATAATTTTTATACTTTTAGTAGAGATGTGGTTTCACCATGTTGGTCAGGCTGGTCTCAAACACCTGACCTTGTGAGCTGCCTGCCTCGGCCTCCCAAAGTGCAGGGATTACAGGCATGAGTCACCATGCCCAGCCTTTTTTATTTTTATATAGAGACAGAGTCGTGCTCTGTTGCCCAGGCTTGAGTGCAGTGGGGTTGATCACAGCTCACTGCAGACTTGACCTTCTGGACTCAAGTGATCCTCCTGCCTCAGCCTCCCTAGTAACTGGGACTACAGGTGCATACCACCATAGCCAGCTAATCACAAACTTTTTTTTTTAGAGATGGGGTCTCACTATGTTGCCCAGTTTGGTCATAAACTCCTGGCCTCAAGCAATCCTCCTGTATCAGCCTCCCAAGTGGCTGGGATTACAGACATGAGCCACCACACCTAGCAGGTATGTCTTTCCGTCTTTCATCTCGGTCCCCCAATCTGTACTCCCCTCCCGTTGCTATCTCTCCTACCTACCTTGTGTGTTATCATCTCAGTGCTTGTCTCAGTTTGGAGTTATTATTATTATTATTATTATTATCATCATCATTATTTTGAGACAGAGTCTCCTTCTGTCATCCAGGCTGGAGTGCAGTGGTGCAATCTCAGCTCAGTGCAACCTCTGCCCCTTGGGTTCAGGTGATTCTCATGCCTCAGCCTCCCGAATAGCTGGGATTACAGGCAACTGCCACCATGACTGGCTAATTTTTATATTTTTAGTAGAGACAGGGTTTCACCATGTTGACCAGGCTGGTCTCGAAGTCCTGACCTCAGGTGATCCTCCTGCCTCGTCCTCCCAAAGTTCCAGGATTACAGGCATTAGCCACTGCTCCTGGATTCAGTTTGGAATTATACAGTGACCTGTCTTCTGATTGTCTCTCCCAAGGACTGTAGGACCGTTGAGGGCGGGGACCTCATCAGTGTCACTTACTTTGGTCTCACAGGGTTTGGGCTCAAGAGTTGACACAGAGTGGGTGCTCAGGAAACACTAAGTGATGAGTGACACCTTGCTGGGTTTGAGGTCACCCTCTCCCCACTCCACGACTGAGGTTGACTAAGAATTGCCCACACCCACCTTGGCTGGCAAAGCTGTCCAGGCGGTCGTTGGCCTGGGGGCTGTTGGCGAGGGCCAGCGCGTAGGATACTGTGGCTATGGCAAATGTTGTCTGAATGTCGGGAGTTTTCTCTCCAGGAATCCACGGGCTCGCTCGATGCTGGTCATCAAATTCTAGAGGGTCAGAGGGAGGAGGCCAGAAGAGGGAGATCACCAGAGGAGAGAAGTCTGGGAGTTGGAGGGACCCAGAGGGACATGAGGCTGGAAGAGCTTTCCAGGTGCTGGGGCTGGAGGGCCCCACAGATCCTGCCCTCCTCTCCGGATCCTACCGATATCTCCCGGCTGCACAGCTCCTTTCCCTCATCCAGGGCTATCCCGACAAGAGCCGTGAGGGATATATTCGCCTCGGAGCCTTGGTAGCCACCCTGTGGGTGATGCAGAGTCCCCCATGTGATTCCCCTCAGCATCTTGGTGATGCCTTCCTCAGCCTCTCTTGTCTGACCCTGAGAAGCTTCCAGGTACCCAGCTCTGGGCTGGATAATGGTGGAGGTGGGATAAAGACAGAGAGGAGAGGTTTCCCTCCCTGGGGTCTGCCCTACTAACAAAAGCCATCAGCCAGGCGCGATGGCTCACATCTGCAATCCCAGCACTTTGGGAGGCTGCAGCAGTAGGATCACCTGAGGTCAGGAGTTTGAGACTAGCCTGGCCAACAAGATGAAACCATGTCTCTACAAAAATATAAAAATTAGTTGGTCAAGATGGTGGGTGCCTGTAAGCCCAGTTGCTGGGGAGGCTGAGGCAGGAGAATTGCTTGAACCTGGGAGGTGGAAGGTACAGTGAGCCGAGATTGTGCCATTGCACTCTAGCCTGGATGACAGAGCGAAACTCTGTCTCAAAAACAAAACAAGGCCAGGCATGGTGGCTCATGCTTGTAATCCCAGCACTTTGGGAGACCAAGAAGGGTGGATCACCTGAAGTCGGGAGTTTGAGACCAGCCTGACCAACATGGTAAAACCCCATCTCTAAAAACAAAACAAAACAAAGAAACAACAAAAAGCTATCAACCTGAGAGGCTGAGCTCTGTACACCATATCAGAGCATTCTGGCAGCAGCCCCACTTTCCTGATGAGAAAATAGGGTCAGAGTGGCAAAGACTTCCCATTTCTAGAAAGTGGCCAAGTCAGGGTTCAAACATCTCTTTAGTACCCCAGCTTCCACCCTCACCTCCTGTCTGGACTTGAATAGTGTCCCCCAAAATTCGTGTTCATGCAGGACCTCAAGATGTGATCTTATTTGGAAATGAGGCCTTTGAGGATGTGATTAAAATTAAGAAGATGTCATACTGGATTAGAGCAGACCCTGTCTAATGATGGGTCTCCTTATAAGGTCATGTCAGGGCCGGGGGTGATGGCTCACGCCTGTAATCCCAGCACTTTGGGAGGCCGAGGCGGATGGATCACGAGGTCAAGAGATCAAGACCATCCTGGTCAACATGGTGAAACCCCGTCTCTACTAAAAATACAAAAAATTAGCTGGGCATGGTGGCGTGTGCCTGTAATCCCAGCTACTCAGGAGGCTGAGGCAGGAGAATTGCCTGAACCCAGGAGGCGAAGGTTGTGGTGAGCCAAGATCGCACCATTGCACTCCAGCCTGAGTAACAAGAGCGAAACTCTGTCTCAAAAAAAGAAAAAAAAAAATAGCCAGGAATGGTGGTGTGCACCTGTAGTCCCAACTGCTGAGGGGGCTGAGGCAGGAGGATCTCTTGAGCTCGGAAGTTTGAGGTTGTAGTGAGCTATGATTGTGCCACTGCATTCCAGCTTGGGTGACAGAAGAAGATCCTGTCTCTAAAAATAATAATAGTAGTCTGGGCACTGTGGCTCATGTCGGTAATGCCAGAACTTTGGGAGGCTGAGGCAGGCAGATCACTTGTGGCCAGAAGTTTGAGACCAGCCTGGACAACATGGCGAAAACCCATGTCTACTAAAACAAAAATGTAAAAATTAGCTGGGCGCGGTGGCACATGCCTATAATCTCAGCTACTTGGGTGGCCGAGGCATAAGAATCACTTGAACCCAGGAGGTGGAGGTCGCAGTGAGTTGAGATCATGCTACTGCATTGCAGTTTGGGTGACAGAGTGGAACTCTTTCTCAAAATAATTAATAATAATAATAATTTGGCCTGATACATGCAGAGAGGACAGCAAAAGCCCTTTTTGGGGGAGAGTTGGAAGAGCCCATGAATGGTTAAGTGTGCATAGTGAGCAGGGAGTGGTGAGGTGAGTCCTAGGAGGAGATATAGATAAAGGTAGCTGTGAGCCACAGCAGGTGTTTGAGCAGGGGAGAGACCTGCCAGACTGCATTTGAAAGACTTCTCTGGATGCTGGTGCAAAGGGACTCTTGGTGGAGATGGGTGTGCAAGCTGGCAGGACACAGTCTCCAAGGGAAGAGGGCCAGGGCAGGCCACTGCTTGATGTGGGGATGAGGAAGGGATGGGTTCCCAGATGTGCCCAGCCTCACCCACATTCTAACAGAGCACGAGGTGGTTCAGACCAGGGCAGGTGTGATCCTTGGCACTGAGCCTCAGCTCTTTCCTGTTCTCATCTGCCCAAGAACAGATTGGGAGCCTGAAATCCCCCCCTAGTGCACAGAGCCCTGCGGATGGGTTTGAATGGCCTGGATAGGGAGGGCTGTGACTACCTGCATGGATGTCATGACCACAGGGCCCTTCTCCAGGAAGTGCCCGTCCTCCGCCTGCCTGTTGATCATGAGCCAGTTGGCCATGGCACAGAGAGAGGGCAGGTCAAGAACGCTGGTCGTCATCATAGGGTAGGCCAGGGCAAAGACGCGGAACACATAGTTTGTAAGCCTGTTGGCAGAGAGCGAGGGTGACACCTGCGAACGGCAGCCAAGGGGGCTCTGGGACAGGGGAGTCTACACCATGGGCCATACATACCCTCCCAGGTGGACCCCTGCCATTCACCGCTGCCCAGGTCTGCCAATGCAGAATGCCCCAGGCCCATGCACTGGATACCCCAAGACCCCAAGACGGCAGCATGGATGCTCCTGGGAAATCAGGCCCCAGGCTGGCCCCTTGGGCTTCGAGGGTGGCAGTGGCAGGAGAGACAGGGTCATCCTCACCAGGTGCTTCCTGGGTTCCCCTTGGAGGTATGGTAGGTGCCGTCTGAACTCCAGTGGGTCAGCATCTGGGTGTACCCTGGGGAAACAGAGCAGGGCTTGGAGAGACAATCAGTGTTACAGATAGAACCTGGTCGGCAGGGACTGGAGGTGGCATGGGGGTGTCACACCTGGAGGTCATCTAGAAGGGGTGACCTATTGTCCAGGTGTACTCTGGAGGGGGGTTTAGGGCCCAGGCGTAAGTGAAGGGCAGGGCTCAGGAATGACTTTGAGGGACCCAGGAGGCAGTTGTCTCCAGGTATAACCCAGGTGACCTTCACCTCGGGGACTCTGGGGCAGGGCATGCCAGCCTTGGAGTTGCTGCTGGAAGAAATCATAGAAGGTGTTGTCCACATGCAACCTGGGAGGGGCGCTACCTGGAAGTTTTCCTTTTTCTTTCTTTATTTTATTATATTATTATTATTTGAGGCGGAGTTTTGCTCTTGTTACCCAGGCTGGAGTGCAATGGCGCGATCTTGGCTCACCGCAACCTCCACCTCCTGGGTTCAGGCAATTCTCCTGCCTCAGCCTCCTGAGTAGCTGGGATTACAGGCACGCGCCACCATGCCCAGCTCATTTTTTGTATTTTTAGTAGAGACGGAGTATCACCATGTTGGTGAGGCTGGTCTTGAACTCCCGACCTCAGGTGATCTGCCCGTCTTGGCCTCCAAAGTGCTTGGATTACAGGCGTAAGCCACTGCACCCGGCCCTTTTCTTTATTTTTAATTTTTTTAATTTAAAAAATTTTTGCCCACCTTATATACAGCTTGGGAAGCAAATATATATGTATATTTTTGATACAGAGTTTTGCTCTGATGCCCAGGCTGGAGTGCAGTGGTGTGATCTTGGCTCCCTGCAACCTCCGACTCCCAGGTTCAAGTGATTCTCCTCCCTGAGGATGGTCTCGATCTCCTGACCTCGTGATCTGCCCACCTCGGCCTCCCAAAGTGCTGGGATTACAGGCGTGAGCCACCAGGCTCAGCGGTTTACTGTTTGTTTGGAGCATTGGGGTGATAGTATCTGGATGTTACCTGAGGGGTTACTGCTTGAGAAGACTTGGAGGAAAGGCTGGAGTCTGAGGGTAACCTGGGACAATTAGCTCAGAGGTCTGTGGGTGTTACCAGGGGTGTTCCTCTCTGGTTGCTCCCTGGGGTGTTCGGTTGTAACCTGGGGAGGCGTCAGCATCCAGGTACAACCAAGGGGCCACTCCCTGGGGTTATTCTGGGGTTTGCTGCCTGGGTGTTCCCTGGGATTCCCTGGGGGTGGGAGTGTAACCTGGAGCAGGGTCCGAGTATAACATCCTCTGGCAGGATGGCTTTTTGGGAGAAATCAGGGTGTCTGCCATAAGACTGAAGCCTGGAGGCTGCGCGCAGTGGCTCACATCAGTAATTCCAGCACTTTGGGAAGCCAAGGCAGGTGGATCACCTGAGGTCAGGAGTTCAAGAACAGCCTGACCAACATGGCAAAACCCCATCTCTACAAAAAATCCAAAAATGAGCCGGCTGTGATGGCTGGCACCTGTAATTCCAGCTCTGCAGGAGGCCAAAGCAGGGGAATCAATCGAACTCAGGAGGCAGAGGTTTAAGTGAGCTGAAATCGCACCACTGCACTCCAGTCTGGGTGACAGAGTGAGACTGTATCGAAAAATAAATAAATAAATGATTTAAAATGCAAAAATTAATGGGCATGGTGGCAGGCATCTGTAATCCCAGCCACTCAGGAGGCTGAGGCAGGAGAATGGCTTGAACCTGGGAGGCAGAGGTTGCCGTGAGCTGAGATCACACCACTGCACCCCAGCCTGGGTGACAGAGTGAGACTCCACTGCAAAAAAAAAAAAAAAAATTGAAGTCTGGGAAGGGGTCAGGTTGAAGAAGTCCCACAGGTGTGTCAGTCATGGAATGACCTTGGGGAACTCAGTATCAAGCTGAGTCTGGAGGAGGAGTCACAGTTTGGGTGTTAGTGCCTGAGGCCGGGGGTCACCCCATGATTTCCCCAATCTTGGGGGTGCCCCAGCCACCCACCAGGAGAGCCCCAGACACCCCCTGGAGGCCCCAGGAGGGTTCCTGCTCTCACCGCTTACAATATTCTTCATCACCTGGTCCCTGTGTTCCACCCCGACCTTGCCCCACTGGCCGGTGGCATCCAAATATCGGGTCAGGATGACGACAGGCATCAGGGAGCTCAGTGTCTGCTCGGGGCAGCCCTTCGGGACCCACAGCAGCTGCTGCATGTCTTCGGGTGTCAGGCTGCCCACAGTCGCCTCATCAAGGATGTCACCTGTCAGGTGGGTGAGTTGGGTGACCCTGGGAGTGGCCTCTGCCTACGCCACCATGGTTCACTGATCACCCCACATGGCCACCCCCAGTTCCTCCAGCCCTGATGCCTCATGGACCTTAGAGGACCCAGCGCCAGCCCTCCCCACATCCCTGTGTCCCCCAGCACCTTGAACACTGATAAACACTTCTGCCTGCGTGTCAGGTACCATGTTCAAGAACTCCTGTCTTGGCACCAGTTCTGTCTGGGTCTGACCTGAAGAAGCATAACCTTCTGTGACAAGTAGGCTCTGGGGCTGGGGATTCCCACCTGGGCACACCCCCTCATGCCTACTCCCTCCTCCTTCCCAGCATGGCCCCAGGATCTCACATGTCCCCTGCAGAGCTCACAAACCTTGGGGATTCAGGAGGATACTACGGGACATTTGTTGAATCTGACCCCCTGCCTGAGGGATGAGAGGAGGATATAAGTCAAAAGCAAAAACAGCAGCCACAGTAATAATGACAATCGCAGTGACGGTGCAGGAGGCATTGCTGGGCTATGATAAGCACAGACTCTGGAGCCCAAATACCTGGGTTCAAATCCCAGCTCTTCCGCTTCCTGTGTGTCCTTGGGAAAGTTATTTACCCTCTCTCTGCCCCAGTTTTCTCATCTGTAAAAGGGGGATAATAATTGTCCCTACCTCAGAGGGTTGTTTGGAGGACTGAATTAATTTTTTTTGAGACAGGTTCTCAAAAAATCCTGGGTTCAAGCGATTCTTGTGCCTCAGCCTACTGAGTAGCTGGGATTACAGGTGCACACCACCACACCAGGCTAATTTTTGTATTTTTAGTAGAGATGGGGGTTAAGCTATGTTGGCCAGGCTGGTCTTGAACTCTTGGCCTGACGTGATTCACCTACTTCGGCCTCCCAAAGTGCTGGGACTACAGGCATGAACCACCATGGCTGGCCCAGTTAATGTTTTTTTTTTTCAGAGAAGGTTCTCTCTAGGTTGCCCAGGCTAGACTCAAATTTCTATGCTCAAACGATCCTCCCACTTCAGCCTCCCAAATAGCTGGGAATACAGGAGGGTGCCACCACAGCTGACGGAGTTAATATTCTTAAGCACCTATATCTTAAGCGTTTGTAAAGTAAATAAAGTTTTTTGCTCGTTTGTTTGTTTTTCGGAGAGAGGGTCTTGCTCTGTCACCCAGGCTGGGGTGCAGTGGTGCGATCTCAGCTTCAGGCTCAATTTCATGGGCTCAAGCAATCCCCTCTCGGCTTTTTGAGTAACTGGGACTACAGGTGCGCACCACCACACCAGACAATTTTGTTTTTTTAATTGGACAGAGTCCTGCACTGTTGCCCAGGCTGGAGTGCAGTGGTGTGATCTTGGCTCACTGCAACCTCCGCCTCCCGGGTTCAAGTGAGATTCTCCTGCCTCAGCCTCCTGAGTAACTGAGATTACAGGCACCCACCACCATACCCAGCTAATTTTTTGTATTTTTAGTAGAGATGGGGTTTCAGTATGTTGGCCAGGCTAGTCTTGAACTCCTGACCTCATGATTCACCTGCCTTGGCCCCCCAAAGTGCTAGGACTTACAGGCATGAGCCACCACACCCAGCCTAATAAAGTATGTTTGATGGACCATACACTGGTTATGGTCATTTTTGCAACTCTGATTATTCGCTGGTATGAAAATTTACCCTCATCCCGCAAACAAAGAAAGGGAGGCTCAGAACACAGAAGTTAAGTAAGTTGCCCAAGGTCACAAAGCAGAGACAAGATTTGATCCCAGGCCTGACTCCTTTGAAGTGGGGTCTTGTGAGCCCCTCCCATCAGTCCACTGACTAAACTTTTTTTCTTTGTGTTTTTTTTTTAGACAAGAGCCTCACTCTGTCACCCAGGCTGGAGTGCAGTGGTGCCATCTTGGCTCTTTGCATCCTCCACTTCCCAGGTTCAAGTGATTCTCCTGCCTCAGCCTCCGGAGTAGCTGGACTACAGGTGTGCATTACCACGCCCAGTTAATTTTGTATTTTTAGTAGAGATGGGGTTTCACCATGTTGGCCAGGCTGGTCTCAAACTCCTGACCTCAGATGATCTACCCGCCTCGGTCTCCTAAACTGAGATTACTGGTGTAAACCACTGTGCTTGGCCGACCAACTGAACTGTCAGATCCGTTTCTCTCTCACCCTCACTCCCATCTAGGAGCCCTGTTTATCCATCCTGGGCCCACCTGCCCCATCCACGATCACACAGCCTGGACCTGGTGGAAGCCCTGCTGTCTGCACCAACGCTAGGGAGCTGGGGGTGCCCATTACCCCGGACCAAGAGTGTCTTCTTCACGTGGTCCTGGATCCCATAGCCCACAGCCTTGACCTCCACGTCCACTTGCCTATCTCCAGAGGGAGAAGAACAAAGGGTACCATCTTGGAGGAGGTGGGGGGCATGACCACCACCTGGCGGGATGGTGCTCCTGGCTTTGATGCGCTGCACAGTGGCTCCCTGTGGGGGACACTCCACTCGGACCTAGAGCAGAATGGGCAAAGGGAGGGGGTTATCAATGCATGGCGTGGTCCAGGACTCTAGTGTCACAGTCCCCTCCCTGCCCTGAGATGCCCAAGTAGGTGACAGTGAAGCCTAGTGATGGGACCACAGACCCAGCCTGAGTCAGAGCCCCATCTGCCATTTATGTGCTGGTGGTGACTCCCGGCAAGCACTTTAACCTCTCTGTGCCTTTAATTTCCTTATCTCTAAACCAAGAACAATAATAGTACCCATCTGATGGGGTTGTCCGTGAGGTTTAAATTAATCCCTCCCTCCCTCCCTCCCTCCCTCCCTTCCTTCCTCTCTTCCTTTATCTTGCTGTATCACCAGATTGGAGTGGAGTGGCACAAATAGGACTCAGTGCAGCCTGAACTCCTGGGGTCAAGCGATCCTCCTGCTTTAGCTTCCTGAGTAGCTGGGACCACAGGTGCATTCCATCAAGCCTGGCTAACTAATCTTCTTAAAATTACTTTCTGTAGAGACAAGGTCTCACTCTGTCACCCAGGCTGGAGTGCAGTGGTGCAATCACAGGTCACTGCAACCTTAATCTCCTGGGCTCAAGCCATCCTCCTACCTCAGCCTCTCAAGTAGCTGAACTACAGGTGTGCACCAATATGCCTAGTTAAATAAGAGAAATATTTAGATTTTCCAAAACAGCCTCCACTTTACTGACCCATGGGAATAATAAATACACCCAACTTCCTTTTCTAAAACACACTAACAGGCTGGGTATGGTGGCTCCCGCCTGTAATCCTAACACTTTGGGAGGCCAAGGAGGGTGGATTGCTGAGCTCAGGAGTTTGAGGACCACCCTGGGCAACCAGCAAAATTCTGTCTCTGCTCAAAATACTAAAATTAGCTAGGCGTGGTGGCACACATCTGAGACCCAGCTACTGGGGAGGCTGAGGCACAGAATCACTTGAACCTGTGAGGTGAGGTTGCAGCGAGCTGAGATCGCGCTACTGCACTCTAGCCTGGGCAACAGAGCAAGACTCTGTTTCCAAAATAAAATAAAATAGCCTGGGTGCAGTGGTTCACACCTGTAATCCCAGCACTTTGGGAGGCCGAGGCAGGTGGATCACTTGAGGTCAGGAGTTTGAGATCAGCCTGGCCAACACGGCAAAACCCTGTCTCTACTAAAAATACAAAAATTACCCAGGTGTGGTGGTGGGCGCCTGTATCCCAGCTACTCCAGGAGTTGAGGTAGAGATTGCTTGAACCCGGGAGACGGAGGTTGAACTGAGATCACACCACTGCACTCCAGCCTGGGTAACAGAGAAAACTCTCATCAAAAATAAATTTAAAAAATAGGCTGGGCACAGGGGCTCACCCTGTAATCCAGCACTTTGGGAGGCTGAGGCATGCAGATCACTTGAGGTCAGAGTTTCGAGACCAGCCTGGCTGACATGGTGAAACCCTGTCTCTATTAAAAATACAAAAATCAACTGGGCATGGTGGTGCATGCCTGTAGTTCCAGCTACTTGGAAGGCTGAGGTAGGAGAATCACTTGACCCTAGAGGTGGAGGTTGCAGTGAGCCGAGATCACACCACTACATTCCATCCTGGACAACAGAGCAAGACTCCATCTAATAAACAAATAAAAATAATTTAAGCATAAAATAAAATACATGCTAGCAGAGATTTTGGCAGGAAGTTGAGGGCTCAGGGGATTCACCTTGGCCTGATGATTCCTGAAATTGTGCAACACGGCTTGGATCTGCACCTGCTCATTCCTGATCACGGAGTGGGGCAACTTAAGGTCCACAAAGAAGGATTTCATACTGTCAGCTCAAAGGGGTCTGAGACACAGAGACCTACAGCCAGGAGAGCACACTGGGTTCAAGCACAGGCTGGGTTGGGGAGAGGGGCTGGGTAGGGTCTCCATACCCACATTCCCTTAGCACTGGGCTTGCTGGGGATCACCTTGACCAGCCTTGAGGCTGACCGCCACAAACTGCCACGTGGTGATGGAATCCGGCATGTTCACAGAGATGGGGTAGTGGGAGATGCTGCTGGGAGCGAGGGGGGCGTCATTGAGTTTGTGCTGCATGGACAGAATCTCTGGGTTGGGATCACCATGCAGGGGTTATGGTCACTATTGGAATCATCAGGTCATCTCATTAGTGACAACATCACCAGAGGGTCATCAATCTTTTTAGGGAACCCGTTAAGATATTTTCCCCATTGTGGGACTGTCCTGAGGCTCAACGTCACTGCTGGGGTCACTGTCCCTGACCCAGCATCCACTGATGATGGCAAGGACCCGGGACCAGATTCTGGCATGGGGGCTGATGTCCTGCCCCGAGTCAGTCTTTGGCAGAGTGAACTTCCTCCAGAGCCAACTCTCGGGGAACAGGGTCCGTACAGCATGTCATCCTCAAAGAGATCATCCAGTCCTCCTCTTCATCCGCTGCAGGAGCAGGTGTGAGGCAGAGTCTCCTTCATGTTTCTTCCATGTTTCCACCAGAATCCTTGTGGGGTCCTCTTCTCCAATCCCCCACGGCCCGTATCACCCCTTAGCCTGTCCTGTGTCATCTATATCCTCCACAAAACTCCCCACCCTGCATCTCCTGCCATGGCCCCCTCACTTGTCCCCAGAAGCTGATCCTCTCGAGCCTCCCGAGTCAGGGTCTCAGACAGATGGCAGCAGTCCAGGAAAGCAGCACACAGGCTGGACCGTGGCGGACATGCCATGTTCTCTCCTCACAGGACAGCCCACGGGCTCTCCTGGACCCGCCTTACAGCACCTTTGCTCCAGCTCTGTGTTAAACTTGTTCACTGCGGGATAGAGGGAAAGAGGAGGTGGGCAGGATCTAAGAAGCTAGACCCATTCACCTT